ATGCTTTTGGTCAGCCTGGAAAGAAGGAAGGGTTTAGTCAAGGAGCCCACCAGGGTTTTGGGCAGGCTGCAAAGGAAGGAGAGAACTTTGGCCAGGGGATTCACCATGCTGTGGGTCAGGCTGGGAATGAGGCAGGAAAGTTTGGTCAAGGAACCCATGGTGCTTTTGGTCAGGCTGGGAAAGAGGGAGAGAAATTTGGTCAAGGAGTTCACCATGCTTTTGGGCAGGCTGAAAAGGAGAGAGAAAAAGTAGTCCACGGGGTCCACCAGAACCTTAGCCATGCTGCAAAGGAGGCACAACAGTTTGGCCATGCTGCAGGGCAGGCTGGGAAAGAGGGAGGGAAGGTAATCCATGGTGTCCAACCTGGGGTCAACCAGGCTGGGAAGAAGGTGGAGCATTTTGGCCAGGGAGTTCACCATGCCATTGAACAGGCTGGAAAGGAAGAGGAAAGAGTGGCCCAAGGGGTCCATGCTGGGGTCCATCAGGCCGGGAAGGAGGCAGAGAACTATGGCCAAGTGGTCAACTACGCTACGGGGCAGGCCGAAAAGGAGGCAGAAAAAATTGGCCAAGGTGTCCACCATGCTGCTGGTCAGGCCGGGAAGGATATGGAAAGGTTGCAGCAAGATGTTCATAATGGGGTCAACCAAGCCAGCAAGGAGGCCAACCGGCTGCTGAATGTAGGTGAACAGGGGTGGGGAAACTGGGGAAGAGGGGCTGGGAGGGAGAGATCAAACCCTTGGGATATGTGGGCAGCCTGTGTAGGCTTCATTGGCCAGAGAAGCTTGGGAAGCCACATAACTGTGTTCCCCCTCCCCCTTTTCCTTCTCTCTTACTAAGGAGCTGGTGATTAGTGGGTCAGATAAATTAAGCTATCTTCTCTATAAAGCCTGCTTTAGATGTGTGCAAAGACCCAGTCCCACCATTAGGAAATTACCCTCCTACTGAAGGGCTCTAAAGTGAAGAACTTATAGTCTTTCTTGGAAACAGGAAACTGTTCTCAAATCAGAGCTCTCAACTGCAAACAGAACAAACAAGCAGAGTGCAAGAGTGAGCATGAGGAACAGTTTTGAGAGAGGAGCCCCTGAGTGCTTTATCTCTGTAATGATCCTCTAAGGTGGCTGGGATGAAGATGCTGACTCCCTGATGCTCAGATAAGAAAACCCGAAGCTCAGGGGAATTGTTAAGGTCATGTGGCCAGTGCTTAGTTGGAGAATTACAGGTTGTGGTTCTTCGTCTTCCTCTACACTGCCTCATCAAGGGAGGCATTGTGAAGGCTTTCTCTCATTTCTGTAGGGGGAATACGTATTAGGGCCTAGATGAGCAGAAAAGAAAAAGGCACCTAAGTGGGAACCGCTTGGGGGATAGCAGGAGGCTGACTGTATATCTCTCAGTTCCCCATTTTCTCAGTCATTGGATGAGCCCATTGTGGAAACATTTAGAGGACTGGCCTGGGCCTCATTGCTCACAGCCACATCTCCTGGCAGGCCAAGGAGGGCTGGGTAGGGAGGAAGCACTAGTGAAGAAAGAGGACCCTGAGCCAGACCACCTGAGTGGAGGCTGCGGGGGGTGGTCACTCAGGTGGGACTTGGGAAGAACAGCAGGGGTTGGGGTGCAGCTGGGGAGACACTGCTAAGTGATGTGGTGAGGTCAAGGACAGGGACTGGGCTTGAGAGAGGGTTGAGCTAGATTGTGCAGAAGGGATGATTTGAAGTCAGGGTTGAGGGTAACTGTGGTCCTGGGCGCTCGGTGGCTAAGAGTGTTTTCCCAACACCAAAATAAAAGGTGTTCTCCAAAGGCCAGTCAGTGGGAGGCCCGCATCCTTCCCATCCCTCACACAATTCTCACAGCCTTTTGGGCTTTGGATTTTCTCTCTGGACAGAGAGTGAGGTTGCAGAGTTAGCCTGTGCCTCTTCCATCCAGCCCTAGTCACGCTAAAGGGGAGCAGGTCACTGGGTAAAAGGAAGCTGGTAGACCTTCAAAGGCAGAGGGCTGGTGATGACTCTCTGGGCTTTGTTCACAGGGCTATCAATACGGCGCAGTTACCGGCCGGCCCGGAGGAACCACAACCACCACAGTAACATCTGGAGTAAGTCTTCTGGGTGTAGCATGGACGAGGGACTGAGGGGATAGGGTTGGGGGGCTGAGGAAGCGAGGAGTGGATGGTGATGGGATGGGAGCTGACGACTGACCTTTCCTCCTTGAATTCTAGGCTTCGGTCATCAAGCCTTTCATCAACTTTTTGGGTCTGTGGAGAGTAAGTACCTATTTTCTTTCTTTCTTTCTTTCTTTCTTTCTTTCTTTCTTTCTTTCTTTCTTTCTTTCTTTCTTTCTTTCTTTCTTTCTTTCCTTTTTGTTGGAACCAGGGATTGAACTCAGGCCACTGTGCTTGCCAGGCAAGCACTTATTCCACTGAGCCATCTCCCCGGCCCCAACCTGTAGGGTTTCTACTTTCTGCCCTTTGTCCTGGGAGATGATCTTCCATCCCTTTCCCATGGCTTGTTCGGGACAGCTTCTCTGTGGACAGACCCAGTCTCTACAGAGACATCCAACCTGTTCTCCCGGCTGGCTCCTCCCCTTCATCACTTGCTCTGGCTTTCAGCTCTTGGGTTCGCTCCATTCCCCCTGAGGCAAAAGCAGCTGGCAGAAACCTCCAGGGCACTTGCACATCAGGGAGCCAGGGAGGGAAGGGCTGCTGAGCTGTCTCTCCACACACCCTCATGGCACCTGCTATCTCTTCTTGGATTCTCAGTGGCTGGCTGGCTGGCTTCCCTCTCTGCCCTCCTGGGAGCAGCTCTGTAAGCCCACCCCTGCTGCCTTGTGTCAGTGTGCTGGGCAGTGGGCATTCAGTGCTCTTTTTTCCTGGTTGAGAGGATAAGGTTCCTGGGAACTCCTCGTTCTCCCTCTGGGCCCAAAGTCCTGCTTCTACCTGTGTACTTAGTGTATCTACTGATGGAGCTGGGGGCTCAGGGTTGAGGGCATGTCATATTCCCATTCTAACCTCGTGGCTGGGCTGCCTGCATTCACTCCCTCTTTCCTCTCTTCCAGAGCATCGCCAGCATCATGCCCTGAACTGATGTTCCTGTTCTCATACCTGCTGAAATGACCTGAGGAGCTGGGGGTGGGAGGAGAGGTTCCTGGAGTCCTTAAGGAGGCTGTACTGAGATTTGCAAATAAATGTAACCTGCTGTCTTTCACAGTGTTGCGCTGTGCTCTATAGAGAAGGGTGGGAGTAATGGGTATAGGGGGGTTTGCATTTTCTTTTTGTCCTATGCTGGAGGAGCTGGGGTCTGCTACACCGAATGGACCAAGGTGGAGATTTCAAGCTGACCAGCTCATAGAGGGCCACCCGGGGAGACAAGCCATGCTTTGCAAGTGTGCAAAGTTTGTGCTCAGCATGGGGAAGAGTGCCCATGGAAGAAAAGCCACTGTTGGCCAGTCATGGGGACATGGGCACAAGGGAGAGAACGGGGGTGCCTCGGTGGAGAACAAGTGGGTAGCATTCTCATTCAGGGGGGCGGCACCCAAAGAATAACAATAGTAGCTTGTTTTTATTGTATAATGAAATTATGCTGGGAGCTTTAAATACATGGTATAATTGAGTCTTCCTAACCACTCGGTTAGGTAAGAGGACTGCTGCTGACCTCATTTTATTGCCAGGCATGTGGAAGCTTGCAGGACTTATAGACGAGACCAAGTTTGCATGATCAGGAAGGTGAGGGAGAGAGCTACCGTTCTCCTTGGCATGATAGGGATAAGGAGAGGGGACAACGACACAAAGGCAGAAGATACACTCATGACAGGAGGAGGAGGGTCTCTTCACCAGTGAATGAATGGAGACAGAAGGCCTGGCTTTCAGATCCATGGGCCACTCAAAGCTCAGAGGGTCACAAAAACGACCTCTGTGTACAGAACCCTGAATACTACACACAGTACTCACTACTGCACGCAGTAGTCCAGCCCGGCATGAAGGCCCTTGTGACCACTTAAGACTCCCATCATTGAGAAGCAGAAGACAAGGGTATTAAAAATATACCATTGTCTGGAGAAGGAAACTGAGATTTGGTAGGGCAAGGGCACAAGCCCTGAGAAAGTTGCAGGCCTGTACCTGGTTCCCTGTCTACCACTAGAGTCTGGCCTCTTGCACTTTTCCCCAGAACCTCTCCGATTTTCCAAGCACTGGGAGGGCGCTGGTGCCTTGTTCCTATCAGGAGCAGTGTGAGGAGGCTGCATACTCCTTCCTTCCCCCAGGGGCCATAATTTCCTCCTCTATAAAGGCAGCGAGGTATCAGTAAGTATGGACTACAATCATTGCTTCCAGCTCCTAAGTTACATGGATCCTGGGACTAAATCTAAGAGGCGGTGTTCTTGCCCTTGGGGAATTTAGCCATTTAGGGAGACAGGCATGTGAACGGGACACAAAAACAAATGGAAAACAATGCACCAATTATTTAAGAGAGCTAAAGGACATAGGAAGGAGAGAAGGACCTGCATTTTTACAATAAACAAGAGGTCCTTGAAACTATAGTCATTGTCCTTTTCCTTATTCTGTAGAATACCATCATTTTATCATGTTCATTCCTTCCCCCTGCTAGTGATATTTTATCCTGAAAATGTTTCAAAAGGGCCAAAGAGATGGAAGAGTTTTACAGTGGACACCTGCATCCTCCACACATAGAATCTACCTGGAGCATTTTATTACCCTGGCTGGATCACATGCTATACACCCAGCCACCTATCAATACATTGTCGTGCCTTTCTAAGTAAACTGCAGGCATCCATTTGCCATCCCTTACCGAACAGAGCAATTCATTCACAGCAGAAACTCGCCGAGGGTCTGTTCTCTCCTGGACTTCCAGTTCACATACCCTGGAGGAGCCCTTACACCCTTACTCGACGAGATCCTACAGTGCCTGCTTTTGCAAACGGCAATATTGAACAGAGCTTGTTCTTTTGTCGAGTAAAATATTTCATTGACTTTATTTATATGTGCATTTTCTTGCTGGGTTTGCTTGGAGTGGAGTTAGAAACTCAAAGTACCAAAGAGATATGAGATAATTCATCACGCTTGTGTATGCATACCTGTGATGGTAGTGGTGGTGGGGGTCACACCTGAGAAGCTTCTGGAAAAGGCAGGCTTTGAGCTGGCATTGAAGGGTAAAGGAAATGCTAGGACTGACTTCTTGTCTGGGGGCCCATTCTGCTGTCCTCTCTGCTAGGAAAGTTTCTCTTATTTCTCTGTCCCCCAGACAGACTACTGCTTCCCTTCAGGTCATCTCGACTTTGACTTCTCAGGATGAACATCTTACCTGCTATTATCTCTCATAGCACCCTAATCTTGTCCTTCATATTGCTTATGACAATTTATATATTATATGGCAAATGTTATTCATTTAACATTCACTCCCCCCACTAGACCAAGAGGTTGGAGGGGTGAGGTCAAGGCCAGGAAAAAATGTCTGGTATTTGAGAAGCTGGCTTGGGCAGCCTTGGGAAAGACAATGGAATAAAGGTGGGCCAGAAGTGGGCTACTTTGCCGAGAAGGGTGGAACCAGGCCAGGGAGCAGCAGAGAGGAAGGACCAGTTTCTGCAGATGTGGAAGAACTCAGAGGGGAGTTTGGGTGGGACTCTCACAGCTACCTTTTATTGAGTGCTTACTAAATCTGTGCTAAGCACTTACAGGCATGATTCATCCATCCTCGCAACTAGCCTATGAGGTAGGTACCTCACTGACGGTGGAACTGAGCCTCAGAAAAGGGAAAGTTGCCTCAGGCCACCTAGCTAGTGCGCTGTGGTAGCAGAGCTCTTTCAAGAGTACTTCCTGATAGTAATCTCCGCTGGTGAGGTTGGCTGACCTGGGACCCTCAGCAAGGGAAAAAAGCGTTCCTCTAGAACTGGTCCTCTTTAAAAATAGGTCTCTGCTCTTGGCCTTTTCAGGACATGAGGGTGCTTGTGTGTTAAAGTTAAATGGCTAGGGGCCGGGGAGATGACTCAGTAGAATAAGCGCTTACCTGGCAAGCACAAGGGCCTGAGTTCAATCCCCAGTTCCACCAAAAAATCAAATAAAATTAAGTTAAATGGCTGCTGAGAAAGCACTCGGACAGTATCAACACACCCGGCACTGCCAGGAGCACGCACTGTGTACCTCTGCGCACCAAGCTCTTCCCTGAGCGTTTCACACGTACGTACTGGAGCTGGGAATCCTCACATCCACCCGCCTTTACAGGCAAGGAAACTGTTGCACAGGTGGGTGAAGATTATACTAGGAAATGGTAAAGTTGACCTTGGACTCAGGCTCCTGGAGAAGTACTGTGAATACTGTGAGGCTGCTGGTGCCAGTCTGAGTTGATAAAGAGAACAGAAGCATCTCAGTGAGATTTCAGGCCTTATCTTCTCATGATACTCGGAATCCAGTCTCCATCTCTCCCTGAAGTTTCCTTCTTGGTCTCTGTATTCCCCAAACCTCCTGTTTTGTACTCCAGAAGAATTCTGTTAGCACCTGCCTCAAAAGTCACACTATGCATTCAAAGAACCAGCTCTTTAATTAAATGATTTATTTTTTATTTTATTTTTATTTATTTATTTATTATTTTTTGGTCTTTTTGAGACAGGGTCTCACTATGCAGTTCAGTGGCCTTGAACTCACTTTGTAGTCCAGGCTGGCCTCAGACTCACAGCGACCTGCCACCACTCCTAGCTGTTTTTTCTTTTTCTTTTTTAATGTATTTAGGGCAGGGTCTACAGGGTCTCATGCCCAGGGTCTACAGAGTCTCATGCCCAGTCTCAATTGTCATCTCAGCATGTCCCCAGGGGCAGGACTGGGGTGGCATGGCAGGCCTGGGGATTGAACCCCAGCCCCTGTAAATGCTTGCAGATGCTTTAATCCGCTGAGCTATTTAGTCGGCCTTTCTTTGTTTATTTCCCCCCCTGGCCGGAACCAGGGATTGAACTCAGGCCCTTGTGCTTGCCAGGAAAGTGCTTATTCTACTGAGCCATCTCCCCAGCCCCTTCTTTGTTGATTTTTAATGTGTGTGTGTGTGTGTGTGTGTGGCCAGCTCAGCCCACCAGGGGGCAGGGCTGGCTGGCATGTGGTGCTGGGGGATTGAACTGTGGTCCCTGTGCTTTGCTAAGCTTGTTCTAAGTAGGTGCTTTAGACCACTGAGCCATCTCACCAGCCCCCTCCCTTCTTTGTTGATTCTTTAAGGTGATCTTCTATTTGTAGAAGTGGGTATTGAGATCCCCTACTATGCTTGTGTTGATGTCTATTTGATCTTTTATGTCCAGTAGTGTTTTATCAAGTTGGAAATGCTAGTTGCATATATATATTTAAAATTGGTATCTCTTCCTATTGTATTGTTCCCTTAACTAATACATAGTGACTTTTTTGCCTGTTCTGATCAGTTTTACCTGAAAATACGATTGCTACTTCTGCTTGATTTCAGAGCCCTGGTGCATGGAAAATTGTTCTCTAGCCTCTTGATTTTTTTTTTTTTTTCAGAACGGGGGATTGAACTCAAGCCCTTGCACTTGCTTAAGCTTGGTTTTTTATCCAATCTGTATGTCTTGTAGCTGGGGAGCTAAGGCCATTTACACTGAGAGCTTTGAAAATATTGACATTTCTATTATTGTGCTATTTTTCTGTTTTTGACTCCTTTATTTTTCCTCTATATTTAATTGCTCCGTTTCTAGACAGCCAAAGGATACAATAAATAAAGTGAAGCAATATCTACAGAATGGGCAAAAAATTTTGCTGACTACTTTTTTTGACAGAGGACTAATGCCTAGAATTTATGAAAAAATGAGACACCCCCCAAAAAAAAATCCAATCAAAAACTTAGGACCAGCAAGATAGCTCAGTGTAATAAGTGCTTGCCCAGCAAGCACAAGGTCCTGAGTTTGATCCCTGGCACCACCAAAAAAAAAAAAAAAAAAAAAAAAAAAAAAAAAAAAAAAAAGACAACTGAAATGAATAGATATTTCTCAGAAGGAAAAGTACAAAGGACCAATAAACATATGAAAATGTTTATCTCTGGCCATTACTAAAATGCAAATTAAAACAGCCCTGAGATTCTACCTTACTCCAGAGAAAACAACTATCATCAAAAAACCAAATAATTGCAAATGCTGGCCAGGCTGTGGGGGTAA